TCCCATTTCAAAATATATGAAAAATATACATAAAAAAATAAAAAAATAAAAAAAACAAAAAATGTAAAAATGTAAAAATAATAAATATAAATAAATACGCACGGAGCAAATATGAAAAATATTTATTTGAGATAAAATTGTACAGAACGATAAATCAAAAATACAATATATAAATGAACTTGTGTATGGAGTCCTTTACAAACCAATGCAAAATACACATACAATATATCTATTTAAATAACTGTGCATAAATAAATATAAAACTTGTAAGCCGAGATAGAGTAACCTTATATATATATATGTTACATATATCATAGTACCGTTGCTTGGAATCAAATAGAAGGCAATTTAAAGATACAAGACAGCCAGTGTATGAATGCACCATTGTAAAATGCAAAAATGTCTGAGTGTAAGCATAAGTGCAAGGATGCAGTTATGCAGTTATGCATTTGTTACGGTTATATCGCATTTTTCCGCACATACCATATATATGAAACATTATTCTAATATAATAAGCCTTCACAACAATTACTGTTAAAAAATCTTTAATATGCCATATACAGGTTCAACAGGTTTAACGTCATTAAAACTGTCATAAAATAGAAATTAAACCTTTCCATGATAAACATGAAAATATGATAAAGAAATGAAAATAATCTGATTCCCTAAAAATTGGCGGTGTTATTATTGGACCATGTTAATTTTTTGAGCCTCTGACTTGGCCTAATCGAACAGAAGACACTCAATCCTTTAAATGTGGATCAAAATAACTACAATTGACGATTTTCTTATACCACATTGAAATAGAAACTTTCCTTTCAATATTTTTCTCTTGTGAAGATCAAAGGGTGCTATCAAAAAAAATGTGACAAATAGACTATAGTTCCAAACCAGTAAAAACAAAGAATGTGACAAAAGGACTTTTCTAACCATAAGGAGAGTCGATATTCTCTATCGTCTATTCTATCTATTCTGAGCTATCTTCCACTGACGAGTCTCTACAGATAGACTTAACTTGTTGAGACGGTCATACAGGTCATTGTTATCCGTCAACAGCTCAGCTCTGTAATACTGATATCGGACGACTTACCACATTAGCGTATGAACCGCATTTTTAAAAAAGTTAGCCATATAATTCAGACCACAAAGACTCGCAATAATTTCTTCCACTTTGTCTAACAAAAATTCTTTCAATATACTTGTCCAAAATCATTTGGGACAATGTACATAAAAAAATGCTCCAGTAAAGAAAAGAAGTTTATTAACACACGTTTATCAACCATGATTGTATTCATTAAAATTACCTTCAGAAAGAAATAAATATTATACATATATCATTATCGATGGATTTTAAAAAGCGACCTTAAAAAATGCACCTTCTCACATAGTGATGAAGTAGGATAACTACTTCATAAGTTTGTAGAATAACTACTGATTGTTCACTGTTTAGTCTACTCATTTTTAATGGAATCATTAATATTTGGCTACAAAATAAGAATTAGTCTCTCATCTCTACACCAATAATTTTAAATCTGGAAAAAGATAGATGGCATTGTGATTCGCATCCCGAAAAAACAGCGAAATCATGCAAAGTACGACTTGTTTTGGTGAATGACACTTTTTCCTCTTCATTTTAAGTTTCGTTTTCAGTTTCTTCCTTTAAACGCATTAATAATGCCTTATTGTAATCATTACTAATTGCTCTCTGGGTATTTTCTATCAAGCTTACCTCAAAATAGGAAACCTAAGATCTTATTAATCGACATTTGCATTTCAACCGTTTGAGCGTCTTTCGCCGATTACTGACCAGTCAACTTACCAACAGCAGTTAATTTGATGTTGGTTGGTTTGTTGGTTGCAGTGGCAGGTCATAAGATAACTTCAAATGTACCTCAATTAGCGATTTTTCGCCGTTTTGTTACCACATTCCTCGCAAGAACCCTAGTATAGAAGAGTAGAGTCTAAATCCATCCCACTGAATTTAGGTAATTTAATAGGTCTTTCATCTTCACCATTGAGCAGTCTGATAAACTATCACAAAAGTATTTTCCTAAGGACCTATATCTTCTGGATGCTAGAGCTGGGCATTCACAGAGAAAATGTATTATTGTTTCTTTCTCCTGCGGGTTTCTACAACTTCTGCAGTGAGAGTTATGGGAGTCTTATAATTTATTCACGCTGTTGCAGGTCATTAAAAAAATTGGTTTTAGTATGTGAAAATCCGTGAAGCATTATTTGGAACTAACAAGACACAATCGCAGTGCCCATTTCGAATATATCTCTCATATTAAAACATCCTTTATTGAGTATGAGAGGTACAAACTTAACTATTTGTTAATTTATTAGCATTGCTGAAGTGTGCTGAAAAGATATTAAGTAATACGTTATATATAAATTCATCTGTAGGTACTGCAGATGCCGTACCTACATCTCTTGCATTATCTTACGCTGCAATTCACTTGCCGCGGTGATCAGATTGTAATGCTCAGTATTTTGTTTGGATGCTTCATAAATATAGAATCTTCAATGTTGCTTGTGTTCATACGGAACTACATACATTAGTGTTGAGTTCAGAACTTGGTTCAATAAATTCCTTTTGCTAAAGCTTAGAGGCCTTCTACAATATTAATAAAATCTTCCGCCAACCGACGTAAGGTGGTTTTAAAGACATTGTAATCTTTACTATTACTCAGAGTATTTGATGAAGAAGTACCGCATCTGTATTCCCTGTTGCCAACTTAAAATTTATATGTTTTTAGTATTCGTGCTATTTACATGTCATCCTAAAAACGACGTGTTGAGTTATGTGAAATATCAAATTCTTAACCTATCCCATTTGCAAAGGCTCCCACGAACACTTAAGATACTCACTACATGCAAATGTAAACGATATGTTTTTTATTATCATCTGAGTTTCATGCACTGAGTTATGCACCCTGTACACGAAACTAGCTTAGTTTTCTCATACTTTTTGTTATATAGAAGCAGTCATTTCTAAGGAGCAATGATATTTAAGTAGTATGAAGGATTTCCTAACTGACAAACTATCCTAAGTCATCGAATTGGAAACGCAAATAACAACAACTTTTAATGCAATATACCAAACCCTATATATGCGCAGCGGTAGTAACAACAACAAGAGCAGTAGTAACAATGGTTGCTAATGTTCCTGCAACTGCGACCGCAACATGGCATACAAATACACCAACTACACTACACAGCAACAACAATTGCTGGTATAATAAAATATTTGAATATATAAAAAATCCTTAGAGAAATGCCACGTTTGAGCTGATATTGGCAAGGCTGTTGCTTTAGCTGTGCTGCTGTTGTTGCTGCTGTTGCTGCTGCTGCTGCCATGTTGCTGATACTGCCGTCGCTGGTTCCTTTCTAAATATCAATTTTTCTTTTCACAAATATACATGATTTGCATACAAAATATTGCTAAGTTTGTGTAGTGAATAAAACGCGTGGTGGAAAGTTTGCTTGAATGCTTTCCTTTCAATGCATGATTTTTGTGTTTATTTTCCTTGGTTTGGTTTTTTTCTGTGCTACCAAACTTTTCTTTTACAAAATATATATGCAGTTTATGCGCTTCTTATAGAATCTATAAGTTTTATTTTCTCAAAAAAGAAAAAAAAAAAAAAAAAACTTTCCATAACATTTTTATACGTTTTCGTTTCGTTTCTTTTCCAAACAGAAGACACACAATTTTTATTCTCGAACTTTGGTGCATATCAGCATCACGTTTATGTGCACTTTTTCAAAACATTTACGTGCGGATTCGTGGAAATCATGGGATTTAGCAGAATGGGTCTATTATGCTTAGAATGAAAATATAGTTTAACCGGGAGTCTAAGTAAAGGAAAAGAGGTGAGGCTGCTTGAAACAGTTGCATGGAGCAGCACTTTAGAAAACAATTGATGCTATGGGAATTTGTGGCCAAAGTATATATAACAAAATCAAAAGGAAATTGGAATACAAAGTAATGCGATGCCATTTGGATAATGGTTATGGCCAACTTGATGGATATTGTGTCAAAGATAAATGATATCAATGGGATTTAAATGTAATAAAATAGCAATTTCATAAAAAACAACTGCAGAAACAATAAAAATCTACTACAACAAAAAGTTCACTCAAAGCAAACACAATAAAACATGTTAAAACAAAGAGCATGCACGCACTATTACACGTCATAGAGTAACCGAGATGTCGGGGAGATATGAAAACAATCAAGAAGTGCATTATATGCAGTTTATTGAAAATGTTGGTTTACTTTATCTCCTGTAAAAATATTCGTGGGTAGATGAACGATACGATATTGACAATCAGCCAGCAGAGCTCAAAGCCATTGACTACCCGTTTTCATAACCTCAACAAGTAAATAAGGATTCTCTAGAATACTTTATAAATACGGATTAAATACTAATACTACTAAAATATGCTACTTTTTGAGGTAAACAAGTAAACAAGTAAAGCATTAACTGACAATGGGTATGCATTACGTACAGATGAGATCAGTTTGCTTCCCGAAGAATCTGTTAAAGTTTGTATAGTTTTAGATGGAACTGCTATTATGAAGGCAGAAGATTTCTTCAATACTGATGCTACCTGTAAGGAAATCATGGAAAGGGAAAAACAATCGGTTGATGGAATTAATGAGTTGAATATATATATATAATAATAAACAGTATAAAATCACTGTATATCACAAATATAGATTATCTTGTAACAACCGAAGATTTATAACTTCACTTTCGTGTATGTGGAACCTTAAAGAGAGTGACCATTTTAAGAATTATATTTGACCAATCAGATGGTTACCAATCAGATGTTGAATTTGCTTAAAAGAAATCCAATAAAAGGGCATTGACATCCACTAACACTGCTAGGTGATCTGACGGAACACCAACTTTTCCATATTATATTACTTTAATCAATTATGTCACAAGTCAGGTATCAAAATATCAAGTTAGATAAATAGCAATTCGTCCTCTTAGAAACCTTGTCTGTATATTTAATAACTTTTTATTTTCAATTGAAACTGTTGAACAATTGCACTTATCTTCAATATCTCTATAGTTTATGAAAAATTTAATAACCATATATAAAATAATAATTAATTGTTTCTTAAAGTTATTTTTGTTGTTTTTGTTGTTTTAGTTGTTCTTTCTGTTTCTGATTTTTAATACTCTCTGCCACCAAACATTTAGAAAGTTCAATATTTTTTAAGTATTTAAAACCATTTTCATCTATCACAGCTACACACAATTTGCTGAAATTAAATAATGAACGTTTGTTTAACTCGACAACACAGTCACCAAAAATAGATAAGACTTCCGCCTGGTTTAGGTCGGGGCGATAACGAAGTTTCAATATAGTTTCACAAAATTTGCCGCCAATACCCTGTGCCATGTAAGGAATCGATGTTGTTCCACCACTACCATCTAGATAATGTAACTGATAGCCCTTATCGTCCATATATCTGAATAAATAAATGAAACCGTACTATATTTACAAATGAAATAGCATACCTTAGTGTTGGAGAGTAACCTACCCGCCTACTAATATGTATAGCTGCATAGTTTTAGCGTTTGATGCTTTAATCAGTTGTTTATTAACGAAATGAACAGCCGATTCTAATTGAAGTTCTCGATGGTTTCTTACTTTGAAAAACTCGAATTCGATTGCCAGATCTCGCAGAAAATTCGCTCGGTCAGCTGCAATTCCTATACCAGCAATTCCTACTTTTTCACCAACTTTGATTATTTTGACAACGTCTAAAAGTTTAACTTCAGATACTTGAATATTTCGACACTTAATACTTACCGCTTAGTATATGCACTAGTACATTTTCCAATGACGTGTCGGCAGCAAGCATCACAAAGTTATCGGTTTGCAGACCAAGCAAGCAGCCCAGAACATTCATTGTTGTATTTGTGATAAATAAGCTGGAACTGAAGAAACAATAACTGAAGATTTATTGCTCTGAGTCGTACTTAGAGATGATGACTGTGACCTTTCCATTCGACTTTAAACTAAAAGTAAAGAAAGTTTACTTAACACAATAACACAACATAAGATATAATCTAAGTGACTTAATAGTAGTATAGCTTTAGCATCAATAAAAAATAATTTTTATTACAAGTTTTGTTCTTTAGTGCATTTCTTCTATTTGTTAGTGGTAAGTATTTGACAGTTATTTTTTCGAACTTTGCAAACGATGCAAGCAAATTTATATTGAGTTTGATTTTAAAATTACTTTAAAAAAAATACTGCTTACTGAATTATACTTCATAATTATAAATCCTGACATCCTTGTATTTTCATATTTTTTAAACTTTATATAAAAAATCACATCTTAATTCAATCAAATATGTTAATATCCAATTATCTTACTGGCAGCAGTCTTCATCAATTTTAAATCGAGGTATTACTTCACTTAAATTTTTAAACCAAATAAGAATTTTACATACATATATTAACTCATTTTTCGCTGATTTCAATGATAGATAAATTTTAAACACTAAACGTATTAAAAAACCAAAACCTAATTGTTATAGGGTTATATTAAAGATTTTCAGAAATTCAACTAAGGTTGTATATTCCTTTCAATATGCAGAGAAAATATTAAAACTCTTACAGAGTTTCTGACAGAGCACTGTAAGCTAAGGGGTCAAAATGGGTTATTCGGACCCCACTATTCATCGCTTTTGTGAACTGATATTCAAGCGTTTGTACACATACTCTTTAAATGTTCTACACTTAGCAGAGGCGGAGAGACATACTCTTTGTCCATCATATCATAATACCATTTTTAAAATCAATGGCGGTTATTGTTGCAAAACTAACCTAAAAATATTAATGAAACAGCTTTTTTTTTTGAACCTATTAAAACCATCTCTTAGGAATAAATGGAGAAGATTTCCATGGCATTGAGGAAACTTTTTCACTTTATCTCGGTCTCAATTTCTTAATTTACATAGAAAACATCAACAGTTTCAAAATGAGCATTATCATCATGAACCGTACCGTTAAGGAACGGTATATCTCCATATATCTTAAAAAAGATTGTGCACACGCCTCTTAACTCGCATCCTTGCTCGCTTGTGTAAACTGCGAGAATGGAAGTCGTATGTGAAAATGTTCAGATCGTCAGAATCTGATCTAAGTTATTTATAAGAAAATAAGCTTTGTGCATTATTTATATGCTTATTCCAAAGATATATATTATGAGCATAAGAGACAACGTCTGTTGAGAATTTATTTTTAAAATAATTAGATGCAAATTACTATCCATTCCCCATCGGATTTCTGTATATCAACTTTAACTTCCATAATTCTTCTATTCTCTACTTAATATATCGTATTCCTTTGCTTACACTTGTACAGTGACAAAAATATCTTGAAGGCATAAAGACAAAAGGGTAAATATTTTATAGTTAAGTCTCTTAACAATTTGCGTGTTGACTTTACAAAAACAAAAATCTAAAAGCGAGAAACAAAAAAATGGAATGTTAAATACAGTATATAAAGGACTTAATTAAAATTGTGCAACAGACCGTTCTCGCAGCATGCTGGCGTTTCTTATATAAAATTTATATAATATACCAAACAATTAAAACTTAATAAAAAAATTTCAATAAATTATAAAAAGAAAAAAATACGCATCAAAGAGACTTTCTAATAAATGCAACTAAGGAAAAAAGGATATGGAAAAACGCGCCTTCAGTAGGTGGGTAAGCAAAAGCAAAACGCTGGCTTCAGTGCTGCCAACAGAACAAAATTTTTGCCTTTTCCCCTAAAAGAAAAAATATGTAATAAAAAAAAAAAAGAAAATTATTGACAGCAACGGAATAATATGGAAAAAAAACGGAATTTTTAATTTTCAATGTGTGTTTGTATATGCGTGCAACACCAAAAAAAAAAAACAAAAAAGGATAAGAGCCACACGAACAATAACCCTAAAATGAAAATTGCAACAGTGAAACAAAAGCAGCAAAAGAGCAAAAACAATGTTAACAAAAACAAAAAAAATGGTTTTAAAGTACAAAATGCAAAATATGTAAACACAGAATGTAACAAAAAATCTAATACTGCGTTTTTAAAATTCGACAACAACAACAACAACAACAACAACAACAAATTGCACACATACCAACAATTTAATAACCAACTACAACAACAACAACATCCAGGATACCACAGAGAAATTATAAATACAAAAAACTGCCAAAAAAGAAATTGAAAGAAGAAAGAAAGCCAAGCAATTTATTAAAAATATATTAAAAATATATAAATACATATGCATGAGGATATTTTTAATACAACATGTTGGCAACACTGTTTTTGACGCCATTGTTTATAGTGCACAATGTTGCCAACCCGATTTTGTGCTTTGACAGTTGCTATTTAAAAATCATATTTTGTATCGTTGTCGTTGTTGTCGTTGTTGTTGTTTTTGTTGTTTTTATTGTTTTTGTTGTTGTTGTTTTTGTATTTATATTAAACAGTGGTTTGGCATAAAACCGAATGGAATACAAAAACTATTCAACCATAAATGAATGTGTGTGTTGTGTGCGAGGTAAACTGTTAATATTTACCTATAATAAATGAAAAATTTTATAACAAAACAACAATAACGAAAACAACGAAAACAACAATAACAAAAATAACAACAACAACGATAACAGCAACGACAATATTAAAATAACAAATAAGAAATTTCATCAAAACTCCAACCAACAATAGAATAATAAAATAAAATTTTTAATAGAGTACAACAGCAGTCGGCTTATGCATATTCGTCTGTTCATGAATGTTGCTTAAATGTGTTTTCCAGCGCACACAAACACATTAACGCTACGTCACTTTAATGTACATTTTATGAAGCACACATGCGTCTAGTAGACCGTAAGCTGCGGGCGTTTGTTTATATGAGCAAGGCGGCTTATTTGCTACTAAAACGAAATTGTGCGGCAACTTTAAACTCATAATGTGCATATATGTATTTTCCGCATATTTTATTTTATACAAATTTTACAACAAAAATAAATTTTATTTACAATTTTTTTGTATGTTGGCAATATCTTTATGTAGCCTTTTTTGATATAGCAACAGCCAATTTGTGAAGTCGACTCTTTTAAAATATTTATTTATTTATGTATTAACACATTTTGGCAATTAGGTTTTGTTCCATGAAATCAATTAAAAAATATTTAATATTGAAAATATTGAAAATATTTAATAAATCTTATATATATTATATACATATACCATATATGTGTAAAATAGTGTAAAAATTGTTTAACTTAATTACACAATACGAAGTGTGATTTTCCCATCAAGTGAAATAAAGAAAAATGATTTCACTTAAATTTAAATCAGTAAAGCACATTTTTTATTAATTCATTTAAGGAAAAATATAATAAAATATATAACTTAGTAGTTATTTTAATAAAAATTCACTTACCTGATTTGTTTTAACATTGGAAAGGATTATACAGTTACGTTTTTTTGAAATGTTCGCCATTTTTTGTCCTATTATTTTTATTTTATTCGTTTATGTATTATGAGTTTTGAAAAATTGTTAACGTTTTCCTCTTTGATGGTGGTGTTAGTCATTTTTAGTGATGTTAGCTAGCACATTTTCTCATATACGGAGCTGTTTTTGAAAAAAATATTTGTTTCTTTGATGCTTGGTTTAATAGTGCTACTAACTAGCTTTTCTGCCTTGTTGATGTGCTAGTAAAATTGTTAAAAGTTTTTTCTTTGATACTTAATTTAAATATTCTTAGTGCTGTTAGCTGGCACTTTCGTGTTCTTAGTCCTGTAATTTTCATTTTTAATAGTGTTCTTGCAAAATTATTAATGATTCTTCCTTGGATACTTAAGTTAACTATTTTCAGTACAATAATTTGTTTGAGTGGGTTTAATGGGTCAATTTAAATACAAAATAAGAACTATAATTTTTATTGCTGTTAGCTAACACTGCTGGCTGTTTTGAGCGTTTTTTAGTGCTCATTTTTAATTGTGCATTTATGAAAAAGATCTCGAGTTAAACTTTTAAAAGATGTCGAGTTAAACTTTTATATGTGTTTTATTATTATTTATTATCACCTTTCTTCTATGTTAAGTTAATTTTCTCTTTATAGAACATAAAAACTTTAAATAATATTGATAATAAATATGCGCCAACTTGTGCATTAAATTAAGGTACTACTTTAATCAAATTAATCCAATTTTGTAGTGTAATTTATATACAATTCACAAGTCAAGGACTTTTTTGTACTGTAGTTTTAGATCTTTTAGTTATGCATCCATATTCAATAGTGACTAATAATAAATATAAATGACAGATATTTTATTTGAAGATTTTTTCATAAGCAATATATATTATTATAAATCATATATATTGTTAAAAAAAATACTACAAAATTTTTACTTAATTTTTTGTTTTAGTTAGATTAAGGTATATATATATTATCATTACTATGAATTTGGCCTCATAATATTTCTTTTATTATTATTATTTTTTTAAATATAAATAATATGTAAATATTTTTTTATATTTGCAGGTGAGTTTCTACTGATTTCGACATGCTATTAATATTTAAAATCGTTGTATGTAAGTAAAGATATTCTCCGAGAAAAAGTCTGAACATCTTGAAAAAATTTAAATGTTTTAAATAAAATTAAATTATTTAATGCTTATAAGCCAAAGTTAACAAAAATATCTCAAAAATTAAAACACAGCATTGCAATTTAAGATATTTTTTATTTCGTATCACCGATCACCGATCATCGTATCATCTACTTTTAAACATTTGGTATGTCCATAATTTTATTCTATGCCGACAAGAAGCACTTGGTACACCCACACTTTCTTTTCCCAGAAGAATTTGTGCTGTCGTATCATGTCTTGCTAGTTCATCTGCTACACAATTGCCCTGGATGTCCCTATGCCATCACCATAAGTGATGTAAGACAATTCATTACTAACCTCAAGTTAATGGTCGACGAGTTTAAAGATTTTATAGCTGCCTGACTGTCAGTAAATATGTCGGATGCAACTTTGGGATACTTACATAGAAAAACGTTAAGAAGTACATGTAGTGCACCGATATGTGAAAAATAAAATTACGGGATGAAACATTGTGTTTCAGCCAATCTGAAACTTTCAATATAGCAGATACTTCAGCTTGAAAAACACTGCAGTGTTCTGGTAGCCTGAAACTCATGCTGAGATCTAGTTCAGGACAGTATACTCCTC